AATATGATCACCCACTTTACAGCTGTCACAACTTACAACCGTAATTGCCAGGCTCATTCAGTCCAGTAAAAAGGCTAGGTTGGCATTTATTTTAGTTCAAGGAGCTATCAATTACTATAACTGTTAAGCAATAAAAAGGAAATTTATTCCAGGCACAAGAAAGAATGCTAGGGTGGAATGTGAAGCAAGGGCAAGAAAGAATGAATATATTAATTTCACCTAAAGCCCTCTGGAGCCAGAACCTTGAATAAAATTTTCAGATGGATGTATATTCAATCAATAATGTCTGTGTTAGTTCAGGTAAGATTATATTAGTCTCCAGCAGTCTATATCTATGACCAGTTGGTCTCTCTCCCTCCCTCTCTCTCCCTCGCTCTCTCTCTCATATATATATATACACACACGCACATACATACACACACACACAATATATATATATATATGAGAGAGAGAGCGAGGGAGAGGGAGGGAGGGAGAGAGAGAGAGAGGGAGAGAGAGAGAGAGAGAGAGACCAACTGGTATAGATATAGACTGCTGGAGACTGTGTGTACACACACACACACACACACACACACTATACACACACACACACACACACACACACACATATACAATATACGTACACAATTTTTTAATAACTTCCCAAAACTGACGGAGTGGCTCAGTGGCTAAGATGCTGAGCTTGTCGATTGAAAGGTCAGCAGTTCAGCGGTTCGAATCCCTAGTGCTGCGTAACGGGGTGAGCTTCTGTTACTTGTCTATCTTGACGAGTCTATCTTTTCTTTTATGTACACTGAGAGCATATGCACCAAAGACAAATTCCTTGTGTGTCCAATCCAGGGGTGGGTTCTACTTACCTTTACTACCGGTTCGCAGCGGGGTCGCTTAAACGCACACACACTCTTCTGCACATGTGCAGAAGCTTCTACACATGCCCAGAAGCATTTTGATGATGTCGGGGTCAGTGACGGAGCCTCCCGCCGGTTTTACTACCGGTTCTATAGAACCGGTGCGAACTGGGGGCAACCCACCACTGGTCCAATCACACTTGGCCAATAAAGAATTCTATTCTATTCTAAAAATTCTATTCTAATTAAGACTCCACACTCTGTTCACTGAATGATAAGATTTGAAATATCAACTTTAAAAAAAACTCTTAAGAGTTATTATTTCTACATCATTGAAAAATGTTGCATTCGTGGGCATTCCTCAATCTCAAGGTAGGTAACTTGGTGCCTGCTGAATATTTTTAAATGTATTCATCACATTTCTATAGCATCCATCTTACCTAAATGACTCTGGGCAGTTTACAATTAAAACATGGGACAAAATATAAAAGCATACATAAGAACAAAGTTAAAAGACAGAATTAAAAGATAGGCTAATGGTATTAAAAGTTAAAAAGCTAAAAAGGTAGAGAGAACATCTTCATGATACCTACTAATTACATTTTCCATCGTTTGCTCTCTAACTCTCTAACTGTAGTAGGCTGGCTTGAGTATTGCAGCCCAAGACATCTAAATGGCAGCATGTACCTATTCATATGATACTCCTACCCTCTTCTCTTCCACTCTTATTTACCATAACTGTTGTTAGCCATGGCATCTAAATAATGCAACTTACAATTATCTCTAGCAATACCTCATTAGAATAGAAGGCATATTTCAGAGTTTGAGTTCTAATTTTGCTCTGGAGATGAGCAGTGGTTAATACTAACCTTATGGCCGGTTATCATGAGAGTGAAATGACTGCTAATATAATGGATCAGCCCATGTGAGGAACAGAAAGTAATCCATAAACTAGCCATATGTCCAACAGCCAAAACTATGATTTGATTATGATAGATGGCTTGGATCAGAATATCCCCATTCACACAGAATTAAGCAGCATGCCTTTAAGTCAGAATGAATTATCTTCTATGTAGAGTTCAGCTCAGCATTTCCTTTGCAGAAATTACAAAAACTGATGTTCATTAAGATCTCTTCTTATTAGTAAAAATCAGAGGCACTCTAACCTTGGAATGCAGTACGTACAAGAAGACTTCTCTTTAAATATGAAAACAGTACAGTTACTATATGGCTGGTTTGCCCTGCACACTGAATTAAAAGCCAGGTAAACAAACATAATTCTCTGGACACACAACATGCTGTGTCCAAACGCTTGATGACATAGTTCATTCAACAAGCTAAGGCAATGACTTGATCAAGGCAACATGCTGAACCACACTCAACCCCCAACCCAAACCTATTTCAGGTTTGCCTAACAGGTTTTTCAAACCTAGTCAGCATTTGTGGAACTGAACCCTGATCCAAAGGAATTGACTACAACTGCACCATCCCAGATAACTGGCCTTATTGATTATGGCTGGCATCTCCCAGCGTGACACTAAATATAAATGCTGCAGAAACAGAATCCTACATTCATAAACAGCAGAATGTTCACAGATTCAACATGACTAAATAAGCTGCTTCATAGCAGTCTTATACATGTAGCATGGGGGTCCCCAACCCCAGTCCATGGACCAGCACCCATCTGCAGCATGCCAGAAACCAGACCACGCAAATAAGTGAAGCCCCATCCGCGGGATGTAGAAAGCACATGAAACGATGCCTCCTCCAGTCCGCGGAAAAACCTCTCTCCATAGAATTGGTCCCTGGTGCCCGAAAGGTTGCGGGTGGGCACTGATGTAGTAGATCTGCCTACTACAGAGTAGTATATATTGGTGGACTCAAATTTTAAAACCTGGTGCTTTTCTCCCATCGTTTTGAATCAAAAGACTTTGGGCCATTCTTTATTCCCAGCTTTAAAGTCAAAAACATGTGTTCTATGTTCACATAAAAATCCTGTCTGGTCTGACAATCAATGACTCCCAATTCATCAGCTTCAGACCTTACAAACTGGGACCTAAAGAACCAGAGTCCAACAACAGTGCAGGATCACAAGTTGCCCATTTCTGAGACAAAAGAAGGTATTCACTTTCCCATCAAATGAGGATACAAGGCCCATATGCTCACTTTTCATGGAACAATGGCTACCTAAAACAGTTTTGTCCCATTTTAATATGGAAATTATAATAAAGCTAAACTGTATATCTTAATGGTTAAGTAATGAATAAATCACTCAATGCTTCTCCCAAATGTTTCCACCTCATCCATAAGTGATATTGGTCCCATCCACTCCAACACCCTCAGCCCAGCCCCCCAAAATGTTAGGTGCCACTCATGGCCATCAAAAGGTTGCCTTCCTCAATCTAGCATCAAGGAATTCCCAAGAAAGTCTGTGTGTCACACAAGAAGATACCATTAAGGATATATAAGGAGATCAGACATAGAACAAATAAACTGAGGAGTTACCATTTGAAAGAGATAACAATTTTAAACTCAATTGATCTTGAAACAGAGATTCTTTTGTAAATTTGTGCAATTCCTTTCCCATATTTTTCCCTTATTTATTATTGGCTACCTGCCAAGGCAATCTTAGCTTTGCCTCACCAACAGGTTCTATCTCTTCGTACGTTATAAATTCAGATCATTTTGACAATGAGAATTTTCCTCTATCAAGAACAGGCAGACTTGAACTAATCTGAGTCTCATGAAAATGTCAGGAAGCAAAAAGCTTCATTTGTTTGGAATACTAAAAATAACCACAATGCATACCATTGAAATAAAACTAATCAACTCGGATGGGTTTCCAAATCCTTCCCTCTTCATGTTCCTCTCTCAAGTAATCCAACCCGGGCATAAGTTCCTTGGAGATTTTCCCACTGAGACTTGAAATGGCACCACACAATCATTTTTCACTGCTGAGGATTTTCACAGGAAAAGAAGGAAATGAAGCTATATTATTCCAGATCTACAGCATAAGCTACAAGAAAGATTCCTGGTGGTGTACAAACAGCTGCTTAAAAAGATATTTTTCGTAGAGAGTTAACAAGATTCCTGAGCAGCTCACAAATGCTATACTATACTTCCCCAACCAAACATGATCTTTTCTCACAGCCAGGAGCAAAAGAAGACACTTTGGTCATAAATAGAACAGCTTTGCCTCCATCCCTTAGGCAACGAAAGGAACTCCACAAGAGTTAACCTTTCCAGTTCGGCATTCCTGCCCTGCTCCAGGATATCTGGATCAAGTTTCCCTTGCACTTTGCCAGATGCACACACACACAAAAGCAGGAAGAGAAGCTAGTTTTCCCAAAACATCTACCACAGTGTAAAAAACGTTTGGGGCTCTTCCATTCTGTTAAACTGAGTTGAAGGATTGAAAAAAGGAAAGGGCGGGACATTGATTTTGCTTCCATCCCACCTTTTCTTCTGGTGAGGATGCATCTGTGGGCTGCGATGAGTATTTTAGTGCTGCTTCCAAAAATCAGGCTTCCATTTTGCCCCTTTCCCAAGCACCAGCTAGCCCTAAACAACAACTAGCTAGGGTTTTCAGAAGAATCTCCTTAAACAAGCTACCCTCCATCATGACAGATGCTCTTTAATCAAAGCCAGTGTGCTGAAGAAAATGGATGACCCTTTCTGTCACGCCATCCCTGCCCACAGAAACTCTTAAACAAAAGCACCCAGCCTGAGACTTCTTCTTCTTCAGTGAGGAACTCCACTGGATGCCTTGGTGCCCAGAGGGCGTTTTCTACTAGGACTTGCATTCGAGACTGGGCTAGGATTATCTAGCGTTGCGATCCGTTTCCAATTCAGGCCAGGGCCGACCTCCGGCTACTCCGAACATGTGCAGAGTTACTCTTCTCTTACAATGCCCGATTCAGCCCCACCCACCCAGCCAGCCAGCCAGCCGATGTGGAGAAGGGATTATTAGGAAGCCGCCGGGCGCTTGAACCAGCGTTTTAATAATACACACACACACACACAAACCCCACATTAGGATGCTGGATCTGAATGGCCCCTTCTGCCGCTCTCGCTCCCCTTCCGAGGAAAGCGACCTTTGCGGGGATGGCTATTGTGGCCGGGATGCGTGAGGAGCCCTCCAAGCCAGCTCACCTGTTAAACACTTTACGGATCTTCTGGCTCACACTGGAGGAAGGCGGGGCGGAGATGCAGCTCCGGCCGCCGCCGCCGCCGCCGCCGCCGCCACCACCGATGCCCTCGGGAGGCAGATTTTCAATGGTCGCCACGACATGGTTGGGCTGCTGCTGCTGCTGCTGCTGCTGATCCGGAGAGATCATCGCGGTGGGGCTGGCGATCAGAAGAGAGCAGCAGGGCGCATCGTGCGCCGCCCGGCCGCCGAGGCGAGAATCCCGCGGAAGATCCAGAGAAAGCGCCCGCGGGGGCGGCTGCGGGGGCTCGCGCGCTTCTCTTTGGGGCTCCAGCTCCAGCCGCCGCCGCCGCCGCCGCACGCCTCAGGGCTGCTCGGCCATGGAACGAAGGAGGTGGTTTTTTTTTGGGGGGGGGTCCTTCAGTTGCAGCCGCCCCGCTCCTTCCCCAGCAGCAGCAAGTGTCCGCCAACGAGGGGTGCGGCGAGCAACCCGAGTGATGGCAGCCGCGGGAACCTCGAGGGGGCTGCCTGGCTCTTCTTTTGTCTCTCCGCAGCTCAGCCCAGCCCAGCCCAACCCAACCCAGCCGGCGTCTCTCTTACTCGCTCGCTCGCTCGCTCTCTCTCGCTCTCTTTCTCCTTCTCGGCGAAGCGCGATCAGGTGCAGCGCTTCGCTCAGCGCTGTCTGCACAGCCCGGACTGAGGGAGCCGCCTCTGCGCGCGCACGGAACAGGGGAGCTCTTCACGCCAGAGTGCGGCTGCAGACAAGCCGAGCCGAAGCCGCCCGCTCCGTGCGCCCCCCCCCCCCCCCCCCCGCCCCCTCCGTCCGTTCCCCCCCCCCTCACGTCCCCTCCTTCCAGTTCAGTTGCGCCCACTAGAGGAAGCAGGCAGGATTGGACGCCCTCCACCTTCCCATCCGCTATCTTTCTTTCCCCCTTTGCCCTCCTTTCCCTTTCGGAATTGTTTGCCGGGAGTTGTAGTTTCCTGCGGTGCTCAAGGTGCTCAAACTCTCCGCTTACCTTCAGAACCGCTCGTCCCTGGACAGCTCCCAGCATCCACCACGGCCCTGGCGAACGGGGGCATAAGGGCAGGAAAGAAAGCAGGCGAAAGAGTTAAGTCCCAAAGGTGCTTTTTTTCTGGAGGCGACTGGGCTTCTTGTTTTGTTTTGTTTTTCTTTGAAGACTTTTCTTTGAAGAAGAAAAAACAAGGAAGTCCAGATGCCTCCAGAAAAAAAGCACCTTTGGGACAACCATGACCTGGATGACTGAGAATCTCTACAGAGTAAGCTTATATGCGGGCAATAAAGTCCACTTGCTGGGATGCATCATGTGTGGTCTGTATAGTAGTTCTTTGTGGCAATTTTACTATATACTTCAGTTAACTCCCCAAAAGGCTGCTTTAAAAAAATGGTAGGGAAAAAAAGGTCTGGTAGAAAGAAACGATGTTAAAATCGAACCAAGGAGCATGTATTTGATCCATCCGTAAGCTATATTTGATCCATAGGGTAAGGGAAGAGACATTGGGGAAGTTGCTGGGTGTCCCTCAATGTTATCTGCAAGGTTTGCTTGCAGTGGCTCTCTGGGTGTTGGATGAAAGTTGCACCCAAGCCCCCTGCACAAAACGATCTCCCTGTCTTACAACTTTTCTCAATTTACTAGGGAAACATCTGGGAATGAAGTCCTTCTGGAAGCACAGCAGAACTAAGGATGTGTTGCAGAAAGAAAAGGAGGGGTGGCTTCCTGTGTGTTTTTGTGACTCAGGAACCACAGCTGGGTTGGATTTGTGGAGAAGTAACTTCAACTCACAACATAAGAGGTCTTTGTGGGTTTGTTTGTTTTTTTACATGTGTGGTGCTGACATAGGTGAAGTAAAGTCTGCAAGAGCAAACAAAAGTCTTGCTTCCACAAACAGGCAGATGACATCTGGGTTGGAGCATTAGGGTAGGCAGCTACCTACCTCATTTGGAGAAGCATTTACATTGTAGACATTGTTAGAGACAGGAGTGCTGATTGGAATATAGATTTGGATCAGGATTCCCAGGATAAATGGAAGTGCAATACAAAGTATCCAAGCCAAGGAGATATGTGGGATGCCTGCTCTTATTTGCTGCTATCAACTTCCTCTGGAGCACCAAGGCAAGAGCATCAGGTCAGGTGCCAACCAATGAGTCCTGTAGGAAGATTCTCTCCCCTCCCCAAAGCTGTATTTGAACAAGGCTTCTTTGCATGGCAATAAGAACAGCACTTGCAGTGTGAGCTACCTGGATTATTTCCATCTTTATTTATTTGTTAATGAGTTTATTACATTCTGGTGTTTTTCAATAGCTGATTTCAGCTTTATTTGAATCTGTGGGGATTTTTATTTTTTTAAAAAATAACTCATCCAACAATTAATGTTATTGTGAATCACTAGGACGAACCTTTCCGGCACCGAGTGCCAAAATGCGTGTACGTATGTGCCGGAAACTGGAAGAGTAGCTGCCTGGTGCATGCACTGGCCACTTGGTCTTCCGGTTTCTGGAGTGCATGCACACGTGAAAACCAGATGGCTGGTGCATAAATAAATAAATAACTTTATTGTCATTGTACGTGTATACACAGTATACCCATACAACGAGATTCACTTAACACCCAAAGACTAGGTCCAACACACATAACAATCCCCAAACACACTCCCACCCGCCGCATATGCATGTGCCAGAACCCAGAAGATCATCTTCTTGGCATGTGCATGCGCACGGGACGGCTGCTCTTCCGGTTTCCGGTGCTCCCGCACGCGGGAACACCAGCTGGCCAGTACAGTGAAACACAGAAGAGCAATGGGTGATGGCTCACGTGCCCGGAGAGATGGCTCTGCATGCCACTTCTGGCACATGTGCCATAGGTTTGCCATCACAGCACTAGAACATATTTTATTATTGAAAATGGCATATTAATGAAAAATAACAATATTAATGCCTAAGCCTAATGCCTAAGCAAACTAAGAAGGATCAAATCTGGTTACTGCTGGGATGGAAGACACTAGGAAGTCCCCAAGGAAGTCCCCAAGGAAGTCCCCAAGTTGATAGAACACACTGAGAAATTGGGAAAAACTTGGAAGTCAGTAAAAGGATGCTCCCGCATTCCTGCCAAGAAAATTACAAGGATTTACTTGTCCATATTGTCCCCAGGAGCTGAGTTTAAGTTAAAGAAAAATTAAATGCAAAGTTGAAAAAAATGAATTTGTGATTCATGACTTTGATGATTAGACATTAGATTATAGAAAGAAAAGAAATGATGTAACTTTAGAGAGTGAATTTAAAAAATAATTGTACTTATAACTATTGTGAAGACTGGAAACCACTTCTTTGATTTTTTTTCCTATTTTTATTCAACTTTTTCTTTTCTTTCTCTTTGCTTTCTCTTTGCTTTCTTTTTTTGTCTTTCTTACTTTATATTAGTTTGTATTAGTTTTCATCTTATTGTTAAAAGCTTCAATCAAAATATAATTCTTTTTAAAAAGTTTAATAGTAAATAAGGTTTTCCATTTTCCATTTACACTTTACTAAATTGGCCATATTATTTAAATGTGCTGTTCTCTTTTGTTATTGGTTTGTTTGTTTTTTACATATGATGGTATATATTTCAGTAAATGCATATTGTTCACTGCTTTGGGCAATTAACTAGAAAACAGAACAACACATAACTAAAGGAAATTAAGATACGCTTTACTGTACTGCATGAATCTTGTAATCTTGTTATTCTAAGAGAGCATTCACCCAAGCAACTTTTGACAGTTGATTAACCTACCCTAGTTATCCACTGCTTTATAATGCAGGATACGTTGTTCCCCTTCATATTTTACATAATCGCTATATGGAACACACCAGTGCATATCTATGGTGCATCTAATATAACTTTCCCCATCTTCATTGTAGCTGAATGGCTTGGAGAGGCTCTTTGGAGTGGATTACTATGTTTGCTCTTTTATAAGGCTAATGTTGTTTTCTTTAGTTCTGCATGCAAATAGACACATTATTCTTTCTCTTGAAACAAAATACATGGACAGGAAATCAGCACTATCTGATCACATCTGAAATTGGGGCATTTTGATTTTGGTACTATTTTTCTACAACTTACTGCACTGGTTATAGTATACTCCCATCTCTTATGTTTCTTCATCACATAAACTGTCACCCTGAAGTATTTGCTGAATTATCAGTGGTTCCCCCCACCCCCCAGCTTCCTTGCTGAAAGTAATATACTTTGCTATTGTTTGTTGTTGTTGTTTTGTTGTTTTGTTTTACTAAAGCAATAATCATTTGTGTCAGCCCATTGGCCTTTAGAAATCACAGACAAATGGGACAATAAAGCATGCCAGTTAGAAATGTAAAAACAACAACAGAGTTCTGCCTTTCAAGATTATTCCATTTCTAATGTTTATTGTTTATTATTACAATTATTATTGTATACTTGTTTATTGGACCCGTGTCCCTCCTGGTTAGTGCTGGCTTTTCGGGAGGTGACACGAGGCTGGTTCCAGGGGATTATAAATGCTTCGCTGGGTGAGGGTGTCTTTCCTGCCGCCTTGAAAGAGGCGGTGGTGAGGCCTCTCCTCAAGAAGCCTTCCCTGGACCCGGCAATGTTGGTAAATTATCGTCCGGTCTCCAACCTTCGTTTTGTGGCAAAGGTTGTTGAGAGTGTGGTTGCGCAACAGCTTCCCCAGCACCTGGATGAAACGACGTATCTGGATCCGTTCCAGTCGGGCTTCAGGCCCGGGTACAGCACGGAAACGGCATTGGTCGCGTTGGTTGATGATCTCTGGAGGGCTTGGGACAGGGGGTGCTCCTCTGTCCTGGTCCTGTTAGATCTCTCAGCGGCTTTTGATACCATCGACCATGGTATCATGCTGCACCGGTTGGAAGAGTTAGGGGTGGGAGGCACCGTGTTGCGGTGGTTCTCCTCCTTTCTCTCTGACCGGTCGCAGTCCGTGTTGACAGGGGGACAGAGGTCGACCCCGAGGCCCCTCATATGTGGGGTGCCGCAAGGGTCGGTCCTCTCACCTCTCCTGTTCAACATTTATGTGAAGCCGCTGGGCGAGATCATCCGTGGTTTCGGGGTGGAGTACCATCAGTACGCTGATGACACCCAGCTGTACATCTCCACCCCGGATCACCCCAACGATGCCCTTGAAGTGATGTCCCGGTGCCTGGAGGCCGTACGGATCTGGATGGGGAGGAACAGGCTCAGGCTCAACCCATCCAAGACCGAGTGGCTGTGGTTTCCGACGTCCCGATATAGCCAGTTGACGCCATCACTGACTATTGGGGGCGAATCATTGGCCCCCACGGAGAGGGCTCGCAACTTGGGCGTCCTCCTGGATTCACGGCTGTCTTTAGAAGAGCACTTGACGGCCGTGACCGGGAGGATTTTTTATCAGGTCCGCCTGATTCGCCAGTTGCGTCCCTTTCTGGATCGGGACTCGTTACGCACGGTCACTCATGCCCTCGTCACCTCCCGCCTGGACTATTGTAATGCTCTCTACATGGGGCTCCCCTTGAGGAGCACCCGGAGGCTCCAACTGGCGCAGAGTGCAGCCGCACGGGTGGTAATGGGAGCGACATGGCGCTCCCATGTAACACCTCTCCTGCGCGAGCTGCACTGGCTCCCGGTGGTCTTCCGGGTGCGCTTCAAGGTTTTGGTTACCACCTTTAAAGCGCTCCATGGCTTAGGGCCTGGTTATTTACGGGACCGCCTACTACCACCAATAGCCTCCCACCGGCCAGTACGCTCTCATAGAGAGGGACTCC